ATTAATTTACTGCCTTCTTTCTGCTAAGAACATTTTAATAATGATGGACTTTAAAGATGTTCCATTGTCAGAACACTGCGGAATACATTAGCATTGGAATTTTTTGAATTTACCAGCATTTTGATTTCTATTTATTGTCAAGTTTAAATTTCGACGGGTGGCACATCGACCACATTGGTACCACTGCCATTGGTACTCCCCTGAGCCACAACTTCACAACACCACTTCTTTTCTTTCTCCACTCTCTTAATCAAATTGACTTCGTGACTCCTAGGATTTCTTGAAATCGTATTTTTTTTTTTTCTGACGTTGCTGCTGGACTTGCTGCAGGTGACACCGAGGAGGAAGGCGCACTCCACCAGCAGCCCCGGCAGCAGCCCGGCGGCGTCCTCGAGCGGGGCGTCGTCGTCGTCCAGCGCCGCGTCCTCCACGTCGTCCTCGGGCCAACCCCCCGCCCCCGGCACGGCGGCCACGGCGGCCGCAGGGGCATCCTGGGCACGCTGCCCCGACGGCCCAAGTCCATGTCGATGAGCCTGTTCACGGTCATCTTCCAGAAGGGCTCGGGCCACAAGTCCCTCGGCCAGGACTCCCCCAAGGGCAGCCTCGGCATCTTCATCAAGACCATCTTCGAGGCCGGGCAGGCGGCGGAGGAGGGCACGCTCAGAGAAGGTAATTTAATTTCTGATACCATTACGAAGTCGAACTCCGCTACGAGTACGGCAATACGGCAGTACACTGGAACGGGAGGAGCGTAAAGGCGTGTTTATGCTGCCCATTACATCTGCCTTTCGTCCGGAAACTTATGTGGTTGCGTGCGCGGCCGGCCGCGCTGGCCGCGCGAAGGGAGTGGGAGTGGTCGCAGGTAGAGGGGCCCCGGGCCACCGACCTGGACGCGGAGCAGCGACACGAGGCTGACTGCTTCCTTCGCGAGGTCCACGTGTTCTGCAAGGCACCACAACGGCACGCAGATGGCACATGCTGTGTCTCGGTAGGACTCGAACCGAGCGTGAGATCCCACCAATGGATTCCTCAAAACGCAACCGGAGTATCGCCGCCTGCACCGTTCCTCTGGCCCACTGTGCCGCCGTGCAGCCAACGCGGCTTACCGGATGGCGGCCCCCTCCCCTCCACCCCCCGGGACTCCGGACTCCAGACGGTCGCCGAGTACGTCGTCGAGAACGGCATCCACGGCGAGCGCCAGCTGCACGCCCTGGTCCGCGGCCGCCAACGGACGGCACGCCGTGCCGTCACCGCGGCCTGCGGCCATCCGTCACCTGGGCCATCCGCAGGAAGACTGCGTCCAGGATCAGCTCCTTTTGCACTGCGGGACGAGGACGGACATGTCCTTCTCGACCTGCGGGCCCTGCAGGAGGTCGCGCACCGCCACTGACAGGCCACGAACGGTGGCTGGAGAGGGAGGGGGCAAAGCCAATTATATAGGTGTGGGGCCGGGCAAACACACGACACGACAGTGCATTGGCAGGGCTTTGGCAGCACCTTTGGCAGCGCCTTGGCAGCACCCTGGCAGTGCATTGGCAGCCCTCCTTCCAGCACCTTTTGCTGCAGTCCTGGAAGTACTCCCCGACCTCTTCGGCAACGTCATGGAGAACGTTCTGCCCTCTTCGCCGATCCGCTGGCTGTTGCCTCATACAATATTGATCCTCGACCGAACAATAATCACCAGCAACAGCAACAACACCAGCATCATCAACAACAACAACAACAACAACAACAACACCAGCAACAACAGCAACACCTGCTGCAGCAGGCACAACACCAGCAGCAAAACCTGCAGCAAACCCTGCAGCAGTCACAGCAGCAGCATGGGGGCGGCCCGCAGGTCGTGTACCGCGTGGTGGGATCCCGTGCGCACGTCAAGAAGACCGATGGCGGGCAGCAGACGGACAACGGCGGCTTCCGGTGCGTCGCCGTCGCCACGCTGGCCTGCCTTTTGAACGCACCCGCGCGCTTTGGATGTGCACTCTATTTTGGTTTCGCTTTCCAGGCAAATTTCGAACGTTCAGTGGAAGAAGTTCGTGGAGGGGGACCGCGTGCCGGAGCTGCTGCGCTCCAAGGGAGACGCGGACGGTCTGAGAGAGTGCGAGCACCCGCGGGACCACTCGCGGCTCGTCGCGGGGGCCGCGGGGCAGAACTCTCAAAAAGCGGCCTCTGAGGCCGGCCGAGCAGGCCGCGGTGCGGCCTCAGCGCGCAGGGGACAGGCTGGGACGGCTCGGTCGCGGCCTCGTCCAGGCCGACCGCTGCGGCCTGCTGCAAACGACAAACGACAAACGACAAGCGATAAAACGATGCCTCGTAAAGCCCCTCGGGCCGGCGGCCGCGGCCTCCGATTTGGCGCCAAAACGAGCCTCTGCCCTCCGTCCGCTCCGCCTGCTCGACGGCCTGCTGCAGACCGCGCGTCGGCCTGACGAGGCCGACTGCCGGCAGCCAATAGGGTTCAAGGATGCGACCGAGGGAGCCGGGAAGTGGCCGAGACGTGGCGCCCTCACATCATGCGGACAAGTCCGGCACTGTCCGTTCAGGCGCAGGGTTGCTCGCCAGCGGCCGGCCTGCGGAGCCGTTTCTTGAGAGCTCTGGGCCCGAGTGCCGGGCCGCCGCCTGCTCCCCCACGGGGTCTTCGCGGCGGAAGCCAGGCGCGGATACAAAAGGGGGCGGAGTTTTGCCCCCCCCCCCCCCAAGCATCTAGCTAGCCAGCCGCTTCAAAGGTAGGCAAAAACATACATTGCTCGTGCAGTAGGCAAAAAAGTGCTACTCTGCGCCCCACAGTGCACTGCTAATCCAAGTGTGGACCAAGTCCACGCTAAATAGCGTGGACCACCGTGGTCCACGCTAGGAAACGTGGACCACGGATGGTCCACACTTGGAAGTGTGATTGGCCTATGAGAAGTTCAACGCTGTGAAGCGTGGACCACAGCTCGGTCTACGTTTTCTAGCGTGGACCACGGCTTGGTCCACGCTTCATGGCGTGGACCATTCGTGGTCCACGCTTCATAGCGTGGACCATTCGTGGTCCACGTTTCCTAGCGTGGACCACCGTGGTCCACGCTATTTAGCGTGGACTTGGTCCACACTTGGATAAGCAGTGTGGGCTAGAAGACCGGTGGAGGCGGCCAAAACTCCATATGCGTTTTTAGCTCCAGAGTCGCTAAGCAGGACTCGAACCGAACGTGTGACCCCACCAATGGATTCCTCGTTCGGAGAGCAATCCATTGGTGGGGTCACACGTTCGGTTCGAGTCTCATTAGCGACTCTGGAGCTCCGGAATTGCCGTATTTTAATTTTCGGCCAAAAAAACTTAGGCATTCAGGTTTTGGGCGAAAAAGTTTGGGTGAACCGTCGTAGGGGTAATGTGTGTCTGTGACGTCTACCACCAGACAGGCCGCGCGCGCCCTCGCGACGCCGTCCAGTGCTAGACCGTGGAGCCGTTTCTTGAGAGCTCTGCCGCGGGGGCCGCGGGGGCCGCGCCCGGGGGCGGCAGTGGCGCTGGAGGCGGCGACAGGAGGACCGCCCCCGGAGCGAGCGCGGCGCCCCTCAACGGGCCCCACAACGCCGTCCACAACGGCGTCCACAACGAGCTGCAGGTCGCCGCCAACGGCAACGGACTCCCCCGCAAGAGCAATGGCGGCCACGGCGCGGAGCGCGACCAGGGCCAGAAGAGGGGCACGGGTGAGTAGAGACTTGCATGCCGGGGACGTGCAAGTATCACGTAACGCCGCCACGACGCGACTCAGTGGCAGGGCAGCGCCGAGCCGAGCGCCGCTTGATGTCAGGGAGGGGGTGGGAGCGGCGGCGAAGAGAGCGGGGCACCACTTCACCCCCTCACCCGCGTCGCGGCCGCTTCGGGCCGGAGCCGAAAGGATCCCGAAGGTGTGGACCGGACGGGCTGCCTACCTTCACGGCGCACTCCTCACCGCTCGCCCCAGCCGCCCCGAGGACGCCGCTGCAGGAAGACGGCGTGCCCGTCGTCGTCGTCGTGGAGGCCGTGCTGCAGCAAGCGTCTAGGAGGGGACAGTGTGGCAGTCTGACAGCGGAGCTGTACTCGGCAGCGTGGCACACCGTCGGCGAGGACATCCCGGCCGTAGCCACGCCATAACGCAGCGCCCTTCCGTCGCTCAGCGTTGCCGACAAGGTGCACTTCTTCAGGGCGCTGACCCGCCGGCTGGAGGCCATGCGGAGGCGCATCCTGCACCCCATGCACGTGCAGCCCGGGTGCAGCTGGGTCATGCAGGGCACGCTGGGGTACTTCCGGGACTCCAGCGTCACCCTGGACATGGTGGCAGCCTTCGACAACCTGAAGCAATCCTTCTTGTGGTCTGTCCTCCGCAGGCACGGCGTGAACGAGGACATTGTGCAGCTGCTGCAGAGCATGTACGAGGGCGCCACCAGAAGGATCAGCGCCAACGGGGTGCACACCGAGGCCGTGGACCTGCTGCAGGGCATCACGCAGGGCTGCCCAGTGTCCGTCCATGCTGCTCTACTGCATTGCCAGCGCACCGCTGCTCAAGGCCCCGAACGTCGACGGCACGGACGGCAAGCTGGCCGCGTCTGTGTCCGTGCTGAGGGACGACGGGGTCTTGTCCTCGATGTAGTCCACCTCGGTGGCGATGTCCTTGATGAAGCGCGGCACGTACTTGCCGTCGCCCGTCACCTCCTTCGACAGCTTCACCTCGGTGGCGGTGGACCTGAGGCAGCGAATGGGACTCGAACCGAACGTGTGACCCCACCAATGGATTCCTTGTTCGGAGAGCAATCCACTGGTGGGGTCACTCGTTCGGTTCGAGTCCCATTTAGCGACGCTCTGCAGCTCAAAACGCGTCTAGAGTTTTTGCCGCCTCCAGAGTCACGTAATTCCCTGCCATGTTTTAGAAAGCTGCATCGCCGGCGCTGGCTACTGCTGCCAACCACGCGTCGATGCACTTGGCACTTAAGTGCGGGATGCCTTAAGGTTAGGTTAGAAGGTTAGACGATATCGACTCACGATGATTTCGTAGTTGACGAAGTCGGAGGTGAGGAGGTACGACCATTCCCCGGCAAAGTCGAAGAACTGCTTGTCGAAGGTCATGAAGTGGTGGCGGCCCACCAGCAGGCCGGTGGCGCCGTAGGGCGGCAGCCAGCGCGACAGCTTCAGCCCCGAGCGGTACTCGTTGAGGGCGTCCAGGAGGTAGTAGCGGTACCTGCGAACACGACAACGCTCCAGTTGTGGTCTAGCCTCTCAAGTTCAAGTTCACCATGAGAGCGCCTGCGGCAGCGCGGGTAGGCAGCCCAACACACAACTCACTTGTCGAGAGAACTGATGTCGGCGGTCTGCTCCTGGGCCACGCGGTACGGGGACAGCTCGTGGAACTCGGGCAGGCGGTCGAAGCCGTGCCAGGGATGGGCAGGGTCTGCGTGTACTCCAGCAGCCCCAGGTCCTTGTCCAGGATGAGGCTGGACGAGGGCTCCAGGGTGGGGCGCGCCACGGCGCTGGCGTCCATGTGGTTCAGCAGGTCCATGAGGCCCACCTCGAGCTGGTGCAGCGCCCACAGCAGGCTCTCGCCGATCTCCTTGGTGACGTCGTAGTAGCGCCAGGCCCACAGAGCCTTCTGGTACACCTTGCCGGCCAGCTTGCGCACGTAGGCCACGGGGGGCGGCAGCTTGTGCAGCGCCTCGTAGTGGCCGAAGGCGGCGTCGCACAGCGCGTCGAAGTACGCCTTGCAGTCCGAGTGCGTCTGGCGCAAGTCCCGCACCACCCACTCGGCCGTGCTGCGCGCCGAAACAACCCTCAATAACCCTGAATCACGCGCTTACTCGCTGAGCTCGGACAGGTACTGGTCGAAGTAGTCCTGCACGTGGAAGTCCTCCAGCCAGGACGCGTACTGCGAGTACAGGTGGAGCACCTCGCGCACCTCCTCCATGCTCATGAGGTGCGTCTTGACGGACTCCACGAAGGCTGAGGCGGGAAGGGTGAGCTACGTTAGAGTCGACGGCAGGGCCATGGCAGGGCCACGGCAGGGCCACGGCAGGGCCACGGCAGGGCCACGGCAGGGCCACGGCAGGGCCACGGCAGGGCCACGGCAGGGCCACGGCAGGGCCACGGCAGGGCCACGGCAGGGCCACGGCAGGGCCACGGCAGGGCCACGGCAGGGCCACGGCAGGGCCACGGCAGGGCCACGGCAGGGCCACGGCAGGGCCACGGCAGGGCCACGGCAGGGCCACGGCAGGGCCACGGCAGGGCCACGGCAGGGCCACGGCAGGGCCACGGCAGGGCCACGGCAGGGCCACGGCAGGGCCACGGCAGGGCCACGGCAGGGCCACGGCAGGGCCACGGCAGGGCCACGGCAGGGCCACGGCAGGGCCACGGCAGGGCCACGGCAGGGCCACGGCAGGGCCACGGCAGGGCCACGGCAGGGCCACGGCAGGGCCACGGCAGGGCCACGGCAGGGCCACGGCAGGGCCACGGCAGGGCCACGGCAGGGCCACGGCAGGGCCACGGCAGGGCCACGGCAGGGCCACGGCAGGGCCACGGCAGGGCCACGGCAGGGCCACGGCAGGGCCACGGCAGGGCCACGGCAGGGCGCTCGGGTGGAGGGGCGGAAAGGGTGGTAGTTGAGGAAGGCGAACATCTCCTGCGCGGTGAGCAGGCCGGGGACGACGGCGCGCTCGATGCGGCGCTTGGCGTCCTCCACGAAGGCGTCCCAGCGGTCCAGCTGCGCGGCCACGGAGCTCTCGAGCTGCGCCAGCGAGTCGTGCGCCGACTTGAGCACCTCGCGCGTCCAGCGGTGCGTCGCGTTGCGCAGCTCCGCCAAGTCCGTCATCGTGGCGTTCCAGTGGACCATGGCGTTCTTACCCAAAGCCTGTGCGTCGGAAAATTAAAAAAAAAAAAGATCAGCATCAGAAATCCGCCGACGGGGAGATTCGATCTTAGACTGAAGATCGTGGCTCACTTTGATGACTGGGATTACGTCCAGGGTGGCCGCGATGTCGATGTACACGATGTCCACCAGCATGGAGGCGAAGCTCTTCACGGCCGAGTATGTACGCCGCGTCCAGCACCTCCAAGCCGTGCTTGGTGACGCAAGAAGCACCACCGCTCGCAACAGATCTGGAAAGCAAAAGAACGAGGGTTCAAGTACTAACCCGTTATGATTTAATTCCTGAAAAGAACAGGTTTTTATGTTTACGTACGCTGCCGACGCAAAGAAATTCCAGATGTCCTTGACGAAGAAATCATTGTGCTCGAAGTGTTCCTTGAGCTTTGCCAGGATGTCGGGCAGGTCGGCGGCGATGGCCTTCTTGGTGCGGATGTTGTACTGCATCACCTCGTCCAGCGTGTCCATGACGCGGGGGTGCACGGCCTCCCACTTGCCGCCGACGTCCTCGCGCAGGAAGTCGGTGAAGCCGTCGTAGATGGCGCCGCCGGCGAGCACCAGGTCGTTGTAGTCCGCGAGCACGGCGTTCTGCATCTCGTCGACGACGCCGGGGCGCCAGGACGCGCGCGTCCAGAAGAGCCCGGTTCAACGGGCTGCAGGAGCTCCCTGCCCTCCGAACGAGGAATCCATTGGTGGGGTCACACGTTCGGTTCGAGTCCTGCTCAGCGACTCTGGAGCTCGAAACGCGTCTGGAGTTTTGGCCGCCTCCACCGGTCTTCTGGCAAATCCACTGTGCGGCGTAGGCCGCGGCAGGGTCAAACCACCTTGATTCTATCCTTGTCACTCTAACAAGTTGGTGGACAAAGAGAGAGAGAGAGAGAGAGAGGACTACAGGAAACAGAACAGTGGAGGTGTCTCGCGCGCAGCTCGCGAATGGCGCGCGACCCTCCCATTTAGAAACGAGCGCATGTCGCAGCCTCGGCCTTTCCTTCGCCATTTGTGGAAAATAAATGAATTATTGCATATTTCCAAAAGACTATTCTAGTCGTGGCTGAGTGAAGAACAAGAAGAACCACAAAAGACGCCATTTAGGGCATTTAAAGTGAATATATTTGATGAAATATGTTGCATTTACTATAAAATATTTGAATTAACTTCTACCAAGCAAGGGGACTTAAACATTTGAAGTAAAAGTGCGAAAAAGTACACTTTTGTGATTCTTCTTGTTCTTCACTCAGCCACGACTAGAATAGTCTATTGATGGGAAAAAATGTATTATTTTATGTAACCTCTTTCAGGGTTTCTGATAGGAGGATTGGGTCAAACTCATTAAAAGGCATATTCGAGTAAAAAAATATATATTTTATATACTTAGTACAAAAACAAGCACATTTTGTTAAAAGTAAAAGTTAAAAATTAAGAGGTAGCTCAACTACAATAAAATGAAAATCTGAGCATCATGAAATTGGTGCCCTAACACAGTTTATTACTATGGAAAGTGGACAATTAGACCAGGTCAGGTTTATAGCTGTTCCAATAGTAATAAGTACAAACCTAAAGTTCAACCTTCCTGCCCCTCCCAAGCAGAAAAACAAAAACTAAAAACTAATCCTTTTTCAAATTTGAAACCAATGTTTAAATGGATAAATTTTCACATAAAGGTATGATGATAGCGTAAGACCTCAAGAATACTCAATGACTCCGATAACACCTATAACTAAAATGGGCATAGGACACAATTATAGTATATTAAGAAGACACTGCATTAAAAATGAAAGGTGTTAGAGACAAAGTAACTATATGGAAACATTGAATATATAAAACTGTTCAGAACCTAATAGTCCATTTTATCACACATTAATATTCAAGGTCAAACATTGAAACAATACATCACAAAAGAAATGGTCCTGGTTTCTTCAAAATGCAGAAAGTTTTAAAAAAGAGTTGACAATCGTTTTTATTCAGAATTGGCCACCATGTACTGAAGAATTGAATTCTGCTTAGGCTTACTTACAAGGTAAATAAAATTAAATAAAATTAAATAAAATTAAAATAGAATTAAAATACACAAAAATAAGTTGCATAATAAAAAACATGACTAAAAGCCTCATTCCAAACGGAGGTGAACAAATTCAGTTGAGTGCCGTCGACGTGAGCACGGCGACACCGTGCTCGTAAAAGCTGTGCTGGTTCTGGCCGGGGGCAAGGTTGAGGTCCACTGTGAACAGCAGCTCCGTGCGCGTCGAGTTGAGGTACACGGGCAGGGACAGCTTTGAGGAGCGCACCTCGGTGCCGGGCGCCACACGCACCCAGCGCAGCAGCGTGGTGGGCAAGTCTGTCATGATGGTGGTGGCCAGCAGCAGCTGGTTGTTTTTGCAGTAGGCGCCCTGCAGCTTGAGCCCCGTCACGCGGAAGCACTCGTTGGGCAGCTGACTGGCCTGCTGGCCGTCGCAGATGGTCACGTCCAGGACCAGCTCCTCCAGCGACCAGCTGTTGGCCTGCGCGATGCACTGCCGCGTGGCGGTGATGTAGGCCTCTGGGTTGAGCAGGCCGCCCAACCACACGGGGTGGGTCTTGACCTTCTCGGCGCCGCCCTCCGACATCAGCAGCGACACCTGACTCAAATGCGCGACGCGCGAGCACAAGTCCTTGAGCCACTGGATGACGGTGCAGCCGTCGGGCACCGTGTAGCGGCGCCAGCTGGGCGGAATGATGCCCTTCACCAGGTCGCTCAGCATGGTGCGGTGGTAGGTCTGCTTCTTCTTGCCCCGGCAAACGCGCCCTATGACCTGCAGGTCGCAGACCACGTCGCGAAGCAGATTGACGGCCGAGTTGACTTCGCGCTCGAAGTAGCGGCACAGGGGGTCCTTGATGGGCTCCTCGACAATGGGCCGCATCGTGGACAGCTGCTGCAGCAGATCCTCCATGGACTCGGCCGATTCTTTCAGCATGTCCATCAAGGACGGGCCGCCGTCCCCGAGAGACTCGCGCGTCTGGTCCAGGCCCTCCTCGCTGGAGTAGGCCAGCTCGTCGTCGTCCTCCAGTTGCTGCATCTTGAGCAGCTTGCCGACCAGGTCCGTTCCTGGACAACAGAGAACAGAGCCATTAAGCCAAGTTCATAGGCAAACACGCAAAAGTTACAAAAAAAAAAAAAACTGAGAAATTTGGATTAAAATTAACTAATTAATTTACAAATGAAAGATGTGAAATTAAATTAGAATGCACAAAATATTCTGCAGAAGTGAGTACATACCTCTTGTGGTGAGCAGAACCTTTTCCGCGTTGTTGGGAAGTCCCAGCCAGGAGGGTGTCTGCCTGTCGGAGAGCGCCTCAATCCAGTGCAGGAAGTGGTCCCTCGTGGTGCCATCAGGCATGGTGATGTGCCGTTGTCCCCCAGGGCCTCCACCAACCCCATCCACATTGGCGACAAGAGCAAAGTCACCCTCAAAACTAGCCGGGGTGAAGAGCTTGGCCAACAAACATTTCAATAGCCGCTGGTCAAACTCGTTGTCGATCTTGCCTCCATAAATACATTTAGACAGCAGGGTAACTAGGGCATCCCAGGGAACTTCCTTTGGCGGCAAGTTGGTCCTACCCATTGCAGTAGCTTCTATCCAGGTGTCTAGAGTATCACAGGCAACTCTCAGGTCAGATTCATTGAATTCATAGTACTTGGCCCAGCCCAGAGGAACGTAGCGTAGACGTTCCTGGACAATGGCATGGAACCAGGCCAGCAGGAAGTAGAGCCGAGCTCGCTCGCTCGGGGCCTTCATCATGCGAGAAGCAGGCACAGTGCTGAAGGTCCGCAGTAAGTTGGCCTTGATGCCTGGCGGCGATTCAAACACGAAGATGCGGCCCGCTCTCAGCAAGTTGACCGGCACCTTGGGGTTCATCTCCATAGTGAGGAAAAGCCTGAAGCCTGGGTGGGGCTCCAACGAGTGCAACTTCTTCTCGAGCTGCACGAGCCACTGCGGCGCCAGGTGCACGTTCTTGAGCAGCACCCAGCGGCCCGAGCGCACCGCCTGGTTGATGGCGCGGTCGGCCTGGTTGAAGCCTTCGGCCGAGCCGATGGCGATGGCGACGATCTGCTTGCGCAGCTTGGCGACCAGGTCGTCCACCCTGCCGGACGCGTCGTAGCCAGGCACCGAGCACAGCAGGGCCGGCACGTTGGCGCGGAGCTCGGCGTCCACGATGGTCGCCAGGTCCAGCTCGCGGTCCGCCGCCACCATGAACTCCTCGCCGAGCACGGCGGCCACCAGGGCCAGCCCCGCGGCGATCACCCTGTCGGGCCGGAAGGCCTGGATCAGCAGCAGGTTGTGCATGGCCACGGCCACGGCGCTCAGCTCCTTGTCCTCCTCCCACAGCGCGGGCACACACTGCTCGGGCGAGCTCTGCTGCAGCCAGCCGGGGAACTCCGGCGAGTCCTTGATCTTCTTGGACAGGTTCTTGAAAGCATTAATGCGCGACGACAGGCGCACCACGGCCTCGATCTGCTCCTGGTTCAGCCCTTCGATGGCCGGCGGCGACGAGTTGAGCATGCCCTCCTTGCCGCGCAGGAAGAACGTGAACTCCGAGTCCAGGCTGGCCTCGTTGGGCACGCCCTTGAGGTGGATGCGGCACAGCAGGATGGCGAAGGTGAGCCGGTCCGTGTGCAGCATGCCCCTGGCCACGCGCTCGTAGCACACGCCTAACAGGTCCTTGGTCACCACCGCCAGCCGCTGGTTGTAGTCAGTCACATTCTGGAGGCGAGGGTTGCTGTGCAAGACGGAGCTGAAGATGTCCAGGAAGAACTGGAGCGAATATTGGTACAGGAAGTGGATTTGGTTTAAGCTATCCATGGTGAAATAGATGTTACTGCACGCTTGACAGAGCGGCATGTACTGTTGAGACACTGTTTCAATTTCCGCATTGACCTTGTCAGTCTCTTCCACCTTCTGGCTGATTTCAGCAGCCACATGCTTCAGCGTTTCTAAAGCGGTTATCACACTGTCATCATGCAGTATCTTCCCCTTTGCATCATTCAACGCCTGAAGCAAGCTCTTTTCACACTGCCTCAGCCTTAGGTGGAATTCACCTTGCAGCTTGAGAAGATCTGACCTCTTCTTGTCAATATCCGGTCTCTCAGCCTTCAATACTTGACTCAAGCACTGACTCTGCAGTGAGCTGCGGGTAACAGTGAAATTGACAAATGTAACTCGAGAACAGATATGCGGAGGGAATTCCGCTTTTGGGTCTCGAGTTGACAAGAAGATATTGTTGAATGAAGGTGACAAATCAATCTCTTCATCGCCCAGAGTAATGAGAACACGGCCACCCGTGTGGCGCCACTCTCTGTTCAGCACAGGGTTCAGAATAGGATCATAATTTTCAACATCCTGAAAATAATAAAAAAAATTTAAAATATTAGGAGTGTTTGATACTGGATAGTTACTGTATAAACAAGTTAGTTAACTGTCACCTTACCTCGACAAGCAGTGGGTAACCAGCGCTGAGAGCAGATTTCAATTTCTTATGGAATGACTTATCCAAGAAAGATGTTTTGGAGATATTTTTATGTTTGAACTCGTTCATTAGGAATTCAGTAGCCTGCCCAGATGGGTCAATTATCAATGGGAACCGGTTTAAGCGATCCAACATAATAGCATTTTCCGTGCACAGATCATCAGTAGGTAAAGAATTGGCCTGCCAACGAAGCCTCTTGTCAGGATTGGAAAGATACTCTGTCCTAGAGATATCAGGACAGAATTGCAGGCCGGCTTGCTTAAGATGACAACTCCATGTTTTAAATAAGTTTTGACGACACTGAAAATAAAAATAAAACAAAGGTCATTGAATAATAAAAGCAAAACATTTTCATTTCAAGAATTGATTTCCACAAAGACACATACATGTTGGTCAAAATAACCGGCATAGGCCAGGAATGCAGACGAAAGCAAAACATCTCCAAAGATAGTTGACATTTGAGACCTGAACGTTTGACTTGATGTTTCCCATCTCCCACTCTCACTGACAAGGGAATTCAAGAGTGCCTCTGAGCGTTTCACCTCGGCCTGCACATTCTCCAAGTCCGTCTTCATGCCCTCAGCTTGGGAGATGAGCTGGGCATGTTGTTGGGTATGGCAAGCTATGCTGCTCTCAAGCTGGGCTATCCTGTTTTTCACCTCCTCACCCCTATTTTTGTTTTCAGTAGCTTCCTTTTCAAGAGCACATTGCTGCTTTTTAAGGGGCTCAACTTTCCTCAATATCTTTGCATACCGAACCTGTAACATTGAAAAGTCTTAGTACTATTACCCTTCAGATGGAGACAAGAGAGTTCAGAGGACAAAAGCAGTAAATGTTATTTGGCGCATACCTGAGCAATGGCAAAATTCACCAGAGGTCCACAAGCCTGACTGCCATGACTTACTTTGTCAAAAGTATAATCCGGATTATTGAGATACTTATCATGCATCTTCTGTATAACATCATCACTGTAAGATTTCAGAGGCATGTATTAGCGTTAGAGCTTAGAAGAAAAAAATTGTAAACCAGGTAGATAAGGTAGAAGTTTTAGATATCTTATAATACAAAGCAATGTTTGGAATTAAGAACTAGAAGCAAGAAAAGGAATAGAGGAAGCACATGCTAAAAACATTGCAAAAAGTCAAAATCGCTTACGTAATATTCTTTACGTTTAGAACCCTGTCAATGAAGTCCTCCCTCATCACAGTGGCCCGTACGTCCTTCCACTGAGTTGATTTCTGTCCCAACAATACACAGATAGACTCCAAAGCAAATTTAACTATGGCAGGTGGATTCGCCATGGATCGAAGTTCAACCACAACTTTCTTGTTAACTTGTTGCACAGCTATAAAGCAAAATAAAAATAAGCATAAAAAAATGCAGAAATCAAAAGATGGATCGGACAACAGACAGATCAGACATGACAACTGAGTTTTATAGGAGACTTGCAATAAAGAGATCTCAACACTTGATAGGCTCAATAATACATTGTACTGTAGTTAAAAAAAAAAGTTGCTTGCAAATTTGAAAGTCAAGAATTTTAAGAACATCTAAATCTATTTATGAAAGGTATGAAAATTAAACAAAAAGTTAGGCTCATGCAAGCAGACAAACCAAACTTATTCATAATCTTTCTTACGTGAGATCATCCGACCAGTCATTTGTGTTTTCACAAAGTAGGAGGCAAATAGATTCCAACGCCAGCTTTACAATGCTGGGAGGGTTTGCCATAGTTCTCACTTCCACCAGGTGTTGTTTCTTAATGGATTTAACAGCTGGACAGTTGTACCACATTAGTAGAAACAAAACCAGTTATCCCTTCTAGCAGTTAATTCTTCTTACAATGAATGGCTGGCACTAACCTTGCTTGGCATCGATGACTGCAGGTTCAACCTGTGCCAATTTCATCTTCACAGCATCTCGTTTTTCTGAAATGTCCACAGTTTGCCTCTCAATATCAGCCTGGATGTCTTGACTCTCAACCTTTTTCTTTTCAGCCTCCTGCCGATCTTTCTCCATCTGCTCGAGCTTCGCATTGGCCGCTTCATTCATGGCTGCTAGCTCCTACAAGACAAATTGATAGGCATTAAAAGCTAACTTCTACAGTGAGAAAAAGCGCTCATGAGGATAGGAGCAAGTACCTGAGATTTAACTTCTGAAGACTTCTGCATTTCTTCAACTTGTAAGACAGTCTCAGCAATTTTGTTAAGACCAACATTTAAATGAAGTTGCTGTTCTTCCAAAAATGAGCGCTTTTCAGCGTACAGCTTGACAAAATGATGGATGAAGTCCAGGTAATGCCTATCAAAGGAAAGACAATTTATTACACATCCTTTTGACACACCCAACAGACAAAATTGTTGAAAACCCACCTTGGAGTGATGGCCATCGTCCTGCTGCCTCGCTTGGCAAGTCTTGCATTGGCTTTGTGGAGTGTCTGATGGACATACACGCAGGCATTTATTACTGCCTCACGGTGAGACGGCTGTGCTGGCAGTCCAGCGTGCACAGATGGGAAGAAGTCTGGCGCTTTCCAGCTTGGGCGATCAAGATCGACGGTATTGGTGAATTCCTTGCCCACCTAACAATAATTAAATGGATGTCAGTAAAAGGGGCCATGAAAACTGGAAGGAAAAATAAGCCAAGACTTGAAATGATGACTTACCTGGAACAAGGCTCCATCAGACCAGTCTCCAAACCAATCTACCGCGCATCGATTAAACAATGCGGGAGAAGTGGCGGCGCGGTCTTTCAAACCCTCAGAGGATGGGTTCATTGTAAAAACGACATGGAGGTTGCGCATCACTTGGCCAGTGAACCACTTATAAAGCTCCTCCTTAGAGCCCAACGTGAGACCTTCCCTCTGGGCACCCTCTTCGCACTGAGTCATCAATGTAGTGTACTCATCACCTGTACCAATAATGTGTTTCATATACAATGTACAGTTTCGTTATAAAAGCTGCAAAACTGCATGGGCTGTATTTACCTTCAAACAGACAACGAACTTCTCCATTGACAAGAGAGTTCATTCTTTCCAGGAATCCTGAATCTAGCACATCAGATTCATCTAAGATGAAGGCAATCTTCTCATCCTTACAGCCAGAGCGTCTGAGCACAGCACGCAAATCTTTATCAAAGTCCTCACCAGTGTACTTGTTGTGAACCTAAACACACAGAATAACGTAAGGAAGCTCATGGGATGAATCATGCACCTAAAAGATTAAAAGCATAACAGCAAATACCTTAATTTGGAAGATAGAGAGGCGATTCATCCAAGCAACAAATCTAGAGAGAGTGGTCTTGCCTGCACCAGAAACACCAATGAGAAGCAGATGCCCGTGAGATGGTCGGAAAATTCTGTCAATGCGCAAAACATGATCTAGTACTTCATCAAATGGCACCAGCTGGACATCCAACTCTTCTTCACTCTTCGCGCGCAACTCTTCTTCATAGAAAACTTCAAGGCGGGCCTTGACGTATTCCCTGAGTTCTTCCCTGTTCACAGGAACGTAGTCCTTTGACTTTGAAAGCCAGTTGCTGTACAAGATGGGTCGAGCAAGGGCCTGCGACTTATCAAGGCCAGAGAAATGTTTCTGAGCCACTACATCAATAGTTTCATTCGTCCACCTTCGCTCTGAATCATCTACTAAACGGTCTTGGAACAGACGAAGGGCTTCATGGGCCCACAGGCGTACCAAACCCTCCACATTGAGAGTTTCAAGAGGTCTAGAAAATTAAAACATTCACTGTTAGGAAATAAATATCATGACGGTTTGATATTGCACTTAGTAAAAAATTAATAAGAGTATAGAAGTGCTTGCCTGATAGCTTCACAAATACCACGAACCCATCTGGTCATTTCTCTTGGAGAGTACACATAGTGGGGCTGCATATCTTGAGTGAACTTTTCCTGTGATACAAGATAGAACTCGACCATAGCATTTGTAAGGGGCTCGGCAAAGCCACGAAGTGGAGGTATGAGCCGCAACATTGCTCTACTGAATGTTCCATAAATCTAGAACACAAACAAAGATATATTAAATGCATGCAATGAGGGATTAAAAGTGAAACTAAAACTTTGACCAACCTGCTTTAGAGAGGTCTCTCCAGGGTAGTCAACATAAATGACTGGGACATGTCTCAAGAATCTGTGAGACAACGGTTTTCTTCCAGGGTCAGTGGGAGGGTTACAAGCCCCAACAAACTGAATGCGCTCTAAAGAAACCCATGCCTGGTCTGAGCTTCGATAGAACCCACGGTGTTCAACAAGTTGACGGAGGAATGAAATAACACGTTGTGTTCCATACTTGTCCATATCAGGCAAATTAATGTCATCACAGAACAGAACAAGCCATTTTCCAAGCTAAAAAGCAGAAATATTTTTACTGGTCAAGAGAATATGATACATTAATAATAATAAAATTAACAACAACAATGTTTACCTGTACTGGAGACAACACAACACCATTGGGAGTCTTTCTGTATTTACAGTAGTGGTCAAAAGTCTTCAAAAGCAACTCAGGAGTTGTGGCTGATGAAAAGTTGAGACCAACCACTTCCATGTCAGGCAGTGCTCGAAGAGCAGAGAACAGAGTCATGGTCTTTCCTGAACCAGGGGGCCCACATAAGACAAGGGGCTTGTGCACTGCTAACCAAGTGTACAACAGAGACTCATGCCGGACAGTGTCCAGGGTGGGGACAACCACATCTGGAGCAGCAACTTGGTCGGTTTTCACTTCAATTTGGGATACTTTGTTAGACCATGGACTCCATTCACCAACAACAGTCACCTGCAAATTGTAACATGTTAGAAAAAAATGGAATTTGATGAGCCTAGTTTTGAGAACAAAATGGAAAACAAACCTCATAGTCGATAATTGGAAATGAACTTGTAGGGGGCAAGGGAACTGTTGTGATTGAACGAATGAAATCACCCAAGTCAGAACGTCCTTTAAGCTTAGCATCTCCAGCAAAGCTCCAAAGAAGTGCATATACTAAACACTTAGGAATGTAGCTATCCAACTGTTCACTTGTCAGAGGGAAGTCTGAATGAGAATGGTTGTAGGCAAGGACATTCCTGTGGTACAGAAGAATTTACATCATCAGCAGGGTCAGGAAAGTAAAAGAACATCAGAGTAATGTCAAGATGAATTAAGATACTTACCTAACACCTTGGTTGAGCATGGAGAAAAGGGAGCTGAGAGCCCGAAGGCGAGTGAAGTCCATGATGTGTTCTTGCTTCATGGCGTACTCCAAGCTTCTCACAACAAGGCCATCAGGTGAAAGGTAGGGCTGAAGAATGGTGCTAACATCTCTTTGAATCTGCAGATCATCATCCTTCTCAGTGCTGGATTTGAAATTGCCCAGACTGTCATCCTCTGATTCCTCCAGAGGAATGTTTCGAAGTTTCAACATGTAATTTTCAAATATCATTTCTGTTGACAGGACATCTTCAGAGAACCAAACCATACCACAACGAGACACAGTGGCTAAAGTTGCATACTTCAGATCTTGAACCTGTATAACAATAAAATAGTAAAAAATTAACAGGATCAAAATTGAAAGGTTTTAGCAAACCGTATTATAAAGAGCAGCAAAGCATACCTCAAACATGATCCGAACGTTAGGTGGCAGGGACAGACGTTCTCCATTAGGCAATGTTAGCAGTTTATTGTCATCAAGGACAGAGTTCAAATTTTCAACCCACTCTGGGTCGACATCACCATCAAATATAATCCATTGGCGCTTGTTAATTTCTCCCCTCACATTATCAATTATTTTTCTGAAGGTAGCAAGTCAGATTTTGATCAGAGTGAGAATAGTCCGATAAACACAATGACAGAAGTACATAATAATGATAGTAATACCTCAGGATGTGAGTAAAGAGACCATCAGTCCATTCTCGAGTGTTGGGGTCAAGAACACCGTACAAGGCTTCTTTGGAAATGGCCTTGGGGTCAATAACATGAGCGACTCCTTCGGTGCCTTCCAGTCTTTCCAGCGAGCGAAGAAGTACCTTCCAGGCAGTACTCTTGCCTGATCCACTTGGGCCTACCATCATCAGTCCATGATTAAGATTGCAAATTTGATATAATTGAAGAACCTGCAAAAGGAAAAAAAAATACTTTAATGTCTCTGGCATGTGAGAGGAAAGGAAATTTCAGGACAGACATTCATGCTTGCATACTATTCAAAACTCTGTATCATCAACATGCTAGCCTTAGCAAGTGGCAAGCCACAAAGTATGAAATGGTTCACGCACTTGAACTGTATTGTATTGTCATCAGTACCAATAATGCAAGTCAGAAAAGATCAAATAGACCAAAAATTAAAGGCATGCAAGCAATAGAGCACATTATGGTTGAAAGCATAACCTTCATTAAAGGTAATGTGGCAGTAGATCAATAAGAGCTGCAATAGTTGGACATATATAAAAAAATGAAAGAGTACACTTTCGTAGTTTTATAAATAAGTCTACCATGCTAATTGGAATGGAAAGTCACCATAAATATCAATATTCCACCTAAAATACCGGAACACACAATTCTGTGTGTAAATGATCATGCCAAACAATTCATTTGACCAGATAATGGACATACTAAATTACTCAAAAATACAAGGCCAAAAAACACTCTACATTTGAAAGCTTTGGGTCCAGAAATAATAGTTCTTAACTACAATGCAGAATTTGGTCAAGGGCTACAAAACCTATGCAAAGAATGTTTTACCTTCTCAACCCATGTTTCTCCTGCGTATCTCTATAAGTATGACAAACAAAGTCATGAAGTGATTGTTGGAAGTTGTTTTTTGTGGTAAACATTGGTAGGTCTAAATCAAAACTTTACATAAAATGATTGACTCACCTTTTCCATCCAAGCACCTCCCTGTTCTTCTCCCTCTCCACATACAAGATACTCCTCCTGGCAGACCTTTCTTATTTTTTCTTTGAGTCCGGCCATCTCTGCTCTCGTGTACTCCACATTGGGGAACACGTCAGAAAGCAGGGAGAACAGCAGGGGAATGTCCTCAGCCACCAGCTTGGGCACCATGGTCTCACACACAGACTGGATCAGAATCTCTTGCTCTGGGAGGTTCTCAGCAATCATTGCTTCATCAATGTTTGAGTCTCCACGAGACTTCATATCTTCTTTAATTTTCTGGATGCGATCGCGCTTCACATTTCCAGCAGATACCAACACACTTTTAAGAGCTCTTAGACCAAAGTCATAGTGAGATTGATTAGAAAGCTGTTCATCGCAAAGCTTGAAGAAAGGCACAATTTTGCAGGCAAGCTTTTCTGCAGAGCGGAAGCCCTGAGAGAACAACATCACTTCAGCAATGAGTTGTCTGTCTGGTTTAGTCATGGCAAGAGACCTGAAGAGGTTCTTCAAGTTATCAGGTAGATTTGAACGTCCAGCATAACCAGGATTCATGGTAATGAAAATGGCCATATCTGTTGACACTTTAACTTGCTTCCCGACAAGCTCCACAGAGATCATTCCTTCTTTCTTGCCATCTTGTTGAGATTTCAGAGCTTCCTGAATTGTTTGCACCTGCTGTGAAACCGCTGAAAGCATTCTCTCCTCAAGTCGATTAAACTCATCAAAGCAACCCCATGCTCCAACTTGACAGAGACCAACAAAAATTCTTCCCATAGCTTGGAAGTCAAATGTTTCATCACAATTGAAAACCAGAACCAATCTTCCCAGTTGATGACCAAGTGCTTTAACTGATTCAGTTTTTCCTGTACCAGCAGGTCCAAATGGAGAACCTCCAAGACGAGCTTCAAGCGCCTGCGTCATGGTCAAGTAGCAAGTGTCTGTTAGCGGAGTCTGAACCAAGCGATCCTGCACACCCAGATACTCAAAGCCATAAAAGAACTTAGCATTTGCCATGTGGATGGTCAATTGCTGCAACACTTCAGTCTGTCTTGCATCAAAGTAGAACCTCATTTCACAGAGCCACTCAAAAGCTTTAGGCCCAGACGTTTTGTTATCAATTAATCTCCTTGTCACTGTGAGCTTGTGGACAAATTCGTTGATGAGATGCTCAAGCTTCTTGCGTCGAAGTTCTGGTTGTTTTTGCAAAACCGAATCGACCAGTACATTAAGAGTTTTTTGAACCTGGCCCCACACACTTTCCAAAGGAGCCATGTTCGGTTCACCACCTGTACTGGCAATCTGGTGGAGAGCACTTTCCACATCTTCACTCCACAGAATTTGTGCTGCTAAAACAACAATCTGCGCTTGATATTTGTCACACCACTTCATGTAAGCATTAGGGTCAATGGACCCCTCCTTAAATTGCTTGATGTCTTGAACAGCTTCAGCCAAACGAGAGGCCAGTGTGACTCTCATCTCTTTCTCCACTAGGGAGAGCCACTCATTCACCTGCGGATGTTCTTTGGTAGAGACAGGAGTCGTAAAGGTCACCTCTTCTTCCCTAGAGGCTATGCCTGTGATGACGGTATTGTCTTTGTTCAAGATAAACTTCGCAACTCCAGCAAACATCTTGGTGAGGTGCTTGCTTATTTGGGGAATGTTGTTGCCATTACCAATGATCTCAAGTAAATCTTCATCTCCGACGAAGTAAAACCTCGGGAATGATGTCCTTTCCCGTTCCAAGTACTCTCCGAGGGCTTTTTGAGTTTCTTCTAACAGGTCAGCGAGACGCTCTAGCACACGCTGAACATCAGGGATGTTCAAGACATCCATTACCATTGGTGACTTTGAAACCCTCTTCATCAATCCTACGAACTCAGAGCTGGGACTCTGGAAATGAGCAGTTTTCAGAGGTTGGAGTGTTTTGATATTACCACTTCTTGAGAAGATTCCCTCCAAGTATGCCCATCTTCTTTGAACATCAATCCAGACATCGAAAAGTGTATTGATGCGGTATAACGTCTCCTCCCATGTAAAAGCTTCTTCTTGAACCACCTTGTAGCACCGAGACAACTTCATAGCCCCAATGGCATCGATATGCTCCTTCACTTTGTTGAAGAGGTCATCCCAACCCGTAATGAGTCTACACTCGTTTTGGTGATTGACGAGGTCAAGTTCATAACTCTGCCATGACTCACGCACCTTCTTCAAGGACTCTTCCAGAGCCATCTCTCCTTGAGCTGCAAGAATGATGTCTTTGACAACAGATTCATTCTTTTGAAGGTTTACATCCCAGACTTGACCAAGAGTCAAGTCAGACAGGACCCAAGAAACACGCAACTGTTTCATGAGGCGCTTCCAGTGACGTTCCTTTAAGGCATCAGATTTCAGTTCCACAATCATCACATTCACCTTGGTGTAGCTCTGCAGAGTGCGTGTAACATATTCACAAGGCGAATATTGCCTCAGACGAGCAGATAATTCTTCGAGTTGAGACATCAAGGTATCCAACTGTTGACGCAGTTTACGGGGTTGAACTGACAGCCAGGGTTTCTCTCGTAACTCATCAATCTGAGACCTGATACGAGACAATTCAGACCAAACACCGCGAAGATCTTGGAGCTCTTTAAATACAACTTGCATTCGATCTTCAGATGTGTTCATACCACCAGGCTCCTGAAGTTCCAGAGCCTCCTTGGCCTTCGCCACATTGTCACGCTCCTCCTTCAAACGAGTAAACCTGGTTTCATAGATCTTGAGCTGTTGAAGAGCTTCATCAGGATGCAATCTTCCTTCCACGGGTTTGCTGCTTTCCCAATCCGTAAGGAATTCGTCGATTCTGGCTTGCAGACCAGCATCAATCTGCGTAAAAGAACAAATATTTTTTCATTAGGATAATTCCAGGAAAGAGAATGAACAAGCAGTTCTTAGGGTCACCCAAGGAGGCTGCATACCAAATTTGGTCAAGATCGGACCACGGGAAGTCCTCGGACGAACGGACGCACAGCATGCATCATTCTATATGCCCGTCCCTCCGTAATTTTTTTTACAAAAAATAAACGGGACGGGCCAAAAAATGGGCAAAATCGCCAAAAATAGTATTTCCAAAGTTCATAGATAAAAATGTGCATAGAAAGTTTCAGATTCAACAGGTTAAACATCTTTAGGCTAAGTGGGTAGTTTCTTTCAGGGGATGGAGGAAAGTTTGATACAGCATCCAGAAAGGCAAACCAATAATAGATTACAGCAAACTTTCAACTGTGGTGAGAAGAAATGGCTGCTCGAGAAGATCAAGGAAAGACAGGTTAAGTCTACCACAGCCAATAAGCTAAACAAAAACAAAGGAGTGCCAATATAAGAAAATAACATCTTATGAGTCAGAAAGTAAACTATAAAGTTGTTCTTTTGTGTGAGTCGTTCATCAAATTTTAAGCTTCAATAAACATACCATTCCCTTAAAAATCCCTCATATACATCCAAAGCTGGTTTTACTTTAACGCTAGCACGTCCGCAAGATCTTAGGTTGGCAAACTTGTTTTGTTGTTCACTTATGACAGTGTGTGTTTCTGTGAAAAACGAATTTTCAATATTTGTGGATGTGTCAAAGCATAAAATTATGAATATTACTAAAATACAGTTGTACTGTAGTGCTTCGCATGTGTTGACATGCTTCTATATTGCAGTATTGAAAATATAGAAGCATGTCAACACAGTTGTACTGTAGTGCTTCGCATGTGTTGCCATGGGCTGCCAAGGACTCGAAAGATAAAAAATGATTTTGAATTGTGTTTTCAAATTGTGTGACAATTCATCTCTAACAAAATGCAGTTTCAATCATTGGTTTTTATTTTTAAAAAAACTACTGCTTTTTAATGAGGCTGATTGCTGTTAACTTTACACTCATCTCAGCATTACAAACATCTACATGACAGGTATGTACTGGTTTCCCAAATAATATTGTTTAAGAAGTAAATGAGATGGCCAAGTAAACATAACCACTTTGAGGATGGACTGGGAAGGGAAGTTGCCACTGTTGTAAATATCGTGGGATCTTGTAATTCACCTAAACTACAATGTGGTCAAAACTGAGACCGCACCAGTTTGGCACACTCTGCATGAGTAAATGAAGTCAATTTTCTCCGCATCAGTTAGTGCGGTCAAATTGATAGAAAATTACACCGCATCAGATTGTGCGGAATCCTCCGCATTTGTTTTCTTGGTTAACTGAAAAACATTTTAAACTCAAAATAAACTGATGCAAACAAAGTGACTACCTGGTAATCTTTTGGTAAAGAGGCAAGTTTCATAGTATCTAATGGCATGTTAATGTTGAACAATGTTTGTGCTGCTTCTATGATAACATCACTCTTGCTGCCATTTGATGCCTTGTGGACAAAGTATAGTGAGGATTTTTCAATGGGAGCCCTACTTTTGTCTACAAACACAAAAAAAGTTTGGAAAAAAGGCAAAAAATTATCTGTTTTGAAATGTTAAAATTTGAAAATTTGTATCTTAGGACAAAAGTTGAGTTTGAAAATTCAGTCTCTAAATTCTCCTCTATACATCTTTAGGATAACCCAAAAAGTTTTTCAAGACTTTCCGTCCCAATGAAAGACGAAGGAAGATTTTTCCCCAACGGAAAATAATTTAGTAAATACCCCTGCATGATTTGTAAACTGAATCAACTCCCATCACTCTTCACGCGCGGACGGCGCAACCCCAATGAGCCCCCTTAAGGGGGAAGTACTTACCACGTTCTTTCCCTCGTCTTCCTCTTCCTCCTCTTTCTCCTTCTCTTCCTCTTCCTTCTCTCCCTCGTCCTCGTCCTCCTCCTCTTCCTCTCCCTCGTCCTCGTCCTCGTCCTCGTCCTCCTGAAAAACAACAGAAAAAAGTCGTTGTTAAACTTTTGCGTCGTAACTGAACGACGCAGCGTTGCAGCGCGGAGTCCGCCCGGCCGGCAGGCAAACCCGCGGCGTGAGGGGGGCTGGGGATGCTGGAGTCGGCCGCCGAGCTGGACGCGCAGGCCTCCATGGAACCCGCTGGTGTAAGGGTAGCGCAGCGGATCCTCACGCTGCTGGTGCGGGTTCAAATGGACCCTGTCCGATTTTTTTGTCACGTAAGGCCGCAACTGCCACGTGCAGATCAGTCTGTCAACCACCCAACGATCTGCCGCGAGTAGAGAAAGATCTGTTGCGAGCCCGTCAGGTTAGGTTAGGATGGGTTGGAACCAATTAGTTACGGGATGGAGCCGAATACTTGCAGGGTGGAGCGCGGGGCCTGGGGAGGAGGCGGAGGGGGCGCGTGGACGTGGTGGAGGGGGCAGCGCGTCGGACGAAGACCGAGCGAGGATCCCGGGCGGGAGGGAGCGAGAAGCTAGCGCCTGCCCTGTTCTCGACACGCAAAACAAAAGGTGCGGCCGGGCCTTGCGCTGTCCGGCCGAGTTGCTCCGGGCGCCAGGGAAGACACTCCAAACGCTGTGTCTGTCTTTACCGGGATTCCCAACGACACAACGCGCAGGCGCTCATGCCAGGGATGGGACCGCAGAGAACACGGGGTATCGTCGGAGCGCGACGCAGCTGGCTGTGGCGCGCCAATCAGAGCGCGGGCTGCAGGTGACGCCGCGGTGAGCCGAGCGCCCCAGTCTCCGGGTGGCGCGGCGCGGCGCGCGGCACAGCCGCACTCCGAATCAATCGACGGCGAGGACGTCGCAGAGGACGAAATGGCGCGGAATTAAGAGGATTCCCAGGAAACAGGGCGGTATGAGTCAAAAGTCAATAAACACGCCGGCCCGCGCGCCAAAGGCGCTGCTGCCCTCCCGCTTCTGCGGCCAGAAATAATTATCCGGCGCGCATGGCCACGAATTTACGGCCTACGGCTCAGCAGACTGATTCCGAGTCTTTCCCGTCGCTCCGTCTCTCTCGCACTCACTGAGCGTCCTGTGTAGGTGCGAGAGAGACAGAGCGATGAGAACGTCTCTCGGAACCAGTCCACTGGCAGCGCGCGGCGCGTGGAGAGCGCCCGACGAGTCCGGGGTAGGCAACACGGACGCTTCCGCGCTCGGCGGGCTGGCATGCCTCGCAATGACAGGCGCTTTGCCACTACGCTCGAGAAGTCTGGACGCCCAACGCGAATCAAACTTGCAGCCTGCCGGACTGCCGATGCCGGGTCGTGCACACTGTACGCCACGGGACGCATGGGCGTCACCGACTGCGCTTTTCGAGAGCCCGACAGCCGTGCTGGGTGGGGCCCCGCCGCGCCGCGAAGGGCCCTTCGCCGGGGGTAGTCCTAGTCTCGCAGTGTGGCACGATGGCACGTCCCACGCGACGGTGCGCGAGGCCGCGATGCAAAGCTCAGGCGCGGACTCCGAGTGGGGACACCCCAAGGGTGCGGAAACGACTCTGTGAGAACATGGTTCTCGTACCGTCGTCAAGGTGTTAAATCCGGACAGACGTCGTAAGGGGGGAGGGGAGGGGCGCGGTGGGCTGCACTCGAACCGCGAGGTCAGCCTGCCAGACCGGCTCGAATCCTTCTACACCAAAAAAATGTTTTTTTCGAAATGCATTTAACATGTACGAGCCCCAATGAGCCCAAGTACTTACCATTTGTTGTTCCTGCCGAAGGGCTTTCAGGCGGGTCTGAAAAAGAACAGGAAAAAGTTGCTATAAAAAACAGGAAATGTGCGAATTTCGCCTTTGATTAACCCTGATTCTGCGTCTGGGGTCAAATTAGATGTTATTTTTGTCATCAGCGCACTCAAAAACATCAGAAACAATGCGAAAACTTGAATAAAAAGAATGTTCAAAATATACCCCACCGGGATTTGAACCCGGGTCCAAACTGCTTCGATTCAAACCAGCACCGTTGACTTTGTTTTGTCGCCCTGATTCCAAAAATACCCCTACATGCCATTCTAGCTGTACCGTTGCCGAAATCCTCCTCGACCCCATGTAGACCATGATGCACCTGCAGCAGCGCCCCCGGGGCTCGGACCGGCGGTTCCACGTTTCCCACCTACGACGGAAAGACGGACTACACTTTCTACCGGGCGCAGTTCCTGGCCCTGGCCTCCAGCCGTCCTGTGTCCGAGTGGGCCGAGTCCTTGGTGGTGGCCCTCCGCAAGCCGGCAAGCCACGTCTGACCAAAGATCGTCAACGGGTGGATCGCGATGGATCGTGCTCGCGAACGTCGGTTCGGGTCGGTTCCGAACCAAACCGGAGCGCCGGTTTTGGCCCAAACCGTTGACCAGCTTCGAGTCCCGGCGGCGCTGTAATTTTTTTTTCGCGATTTTAGAGCTGCAACCGCCACTAACATTTCACAGCACATATAAATACCGAGGAGATTCTTTTTCAAGGACCTGAAAGGTACCAGAGACCGATAAAAATGCAGGCTTCTGCCAGGATTCGAAGCCGGACCAGTCACCGGCCGGGCCCACGCCCGCCAGGGCTTGGCTCGGGACCGACCCGGACCGACGTTGGCGAGCCCGATCCAACGCGATCCACCCGTTGACGATCTTTGCGTCTGACTGCGGACCAGCTGACGAACTTCGGGGAGCTGGACAGCGCGCTGTTGACGAGGTTTGGAAGGCCGCGGCCCCGCAACATCGCGGTGCAGAGCCTGAAGGCGGCGCGTCAGCAACCGGACCAAACCCTCCGGGAGTTTGGAGTGCAAATTGACCTGCTGTGCCGGGATGCATACCGGGACGACCCCGTCGTCGGCCGCTCGCCGAGCGTGCTGGACAAGTTGGTGCTGGACAACTTCCTGGCCTGCCGGCCCGGCGACCCGACGTCTACTGCTCATGTCGCGCCCCGGCGACCTGACGACGGCGTTGGCGACCGCCAGCGAGCTCGAGGACGCCCCGCCCGTGAAGCGCGTCCGCCAGGTTGAAGTCGAAGCCGCACCAGCGACACGCCACGACGGCGCCGGAGACGTGGCCGACACGAGCCCACTGGTCACCAGGGTTCGGAAAGTTACTCAATTTTTTGTAACTAGTACCGTTACAAGTACTTGGCCCAA